CTCAGCTTTTTAAGCAGGTTATTGACATGAAGTTCAAAAGTAAGACAATCATCAAGCCAGATACCTAGGTATTTATAACAGGTAACCACTTCAAGTACTTCAATCAGGAGAGACGTTGATGTAAGAAATACATATTTATTACTGGGACACGTCATATGAATGAAATAATGATTGCCAGAATTGAGACAAGAGAATGGAATGGTGTTTGGCGATTAGGCCCAATTTGCAGGATTATCATTCAGGAGGGGAAGAACCGCTCCGAAGAAACCCCCCGGGGTCTAGACACTGGTGGTGGTGATAAGTAGGTGAGACTGGTCTGGAGGGAGAAGGATTAGCTTGGTCCTGTAGGAGACGGGAGGCGAGAGGGGTGGAGGAGGGTTGCGTATTTTCACCTGAAATGACAGCTGACAAGATGGAAGATCAGATATAAAGGGATTAGCGGGTGCAACGATAGGCTTGTGAGAATGGAGAGAGGAGTGATTGGTAAGCTGGGGAGTGACGCCCCCGATCACTTAATGAGGGAGGAGAGGGTAAAGAAGTGACGTGTAATATGGATGGAGAGCTTGGTCTTCCTGCTTGAACTTGCGCCAAGCTTCATTAGTCCTACAACTATACCCTCCAAAGTGCTTGAGGGTGGGATTAATAGAAGCATATTTTTTGGGGGTGTGCTTTTTACGGCAGGCCAGGGGGTGCATTTCACGACGTGGGTGCATCATTTGACACAAAACCGGCCGTCAGCGAACCAAGCCGGCCTTTCTCCGCATCTGATTCATGTCATAAATCAGACTTTAGAAAAACATTTTAGCCAATCAAAATGAAATATGCGGGACATCGTCTGAATTTACGGGATGCACCAAAAGTCGTGAAAATGCTGTGCAGTACCGCACAAAGCGGGACATCTGGTCACCCCAGTGACTTCCGGTAGCAAAATATGAAAAACCGGTAGTGTTTTTGTTTCTGTTTTCTATCGATTACATTTTTTGTTTTGAGAAGTAGAAAATGAAAATCATCCCGTTTTTTAAGTTTAGTAAATCCCTTTTTGACCATGATAAAGAAAAACGCCTTGTATTTCAATTTTGGTTTTTCAATTTTGAAACGAAAATCAAATATCCAGTCGTTTTTTGTTTTTGAATATCCATTTGTGAAAAGAAAATCCAATGACCAAAACATACACTGACCGCCTATCTACCCTTTTCAGAACAGCCATTACTGAGGAAGAAATAGAAGGCATCCTCACATGTAGGGACACGAAGGGTGAATACACAAACTCGCAGGCGTTTATTTCTCAGAGCAAAGCTTGAAAAAGCCCTCGTCGAAGAGGAAAAAGCGATTGAATGCTTGAGCCACAAAGGGAGTTAAAAAAGGGGTGGAAGAGGGTAAGAGAAACCAATTTCATGCTGTGATCTTGCAACATCTTATAATTCGACTTTGGATGAGCGCGCCGTTGTTTGTAAGCACAGAGCCAAGTTCAGTTTCTTCTTACTTCAACAGAATCCATTCCTTTTCCAGCTCACGTCAACTCTCGCCTCTTTTATGCTCTTCATGCCTTCGCTGTTTCTTTATACTTTCACTTTCCCTGATGTGCTCTCCTATTTTTCCTGCTCATATGCTTCACAAAAAACAAGATTCAAACATTTTGCATATGCCAGTCATTTTACATACGCTACAGGGTATAGCCAGTGAGGAAGATGCCATCCACATTCCTAACACTTCTTGCTGTGCTCTGATTGGTTGATTGTTTTATCAACGGGGGGTAAAACATCAGTAAGCACAACCCCTGACCTATTTGAATTTCTTTTAAAGAAAGTCAGTAAGTTAGTTGCTGACATTTGGTAAAGCAGCGCTAATGCTAAGAAAAAGATGCCCAATGGGGAGGGTTAGGGTTACACATATGTTGTCAAACAGGATCTACAATGTAATTTAATGTTACTTGCAAGAAACGCGGGGAGACTAAGATGGAGAATATCACAAATCAAAGTTCCTGGGCCAGATATCAGGCTGGGGTATGTTGATGGAGCCTCTAACTCCAACACGGTCCTAGAAGTAGAATTGTCAGGTGTAAATGTCTTAAATAGTTAATGGACTATTTTCCTTGTTCTTCATTGACCTGCCGACTTTGTGCAGTTGCACACAAACACACAGCCTACCTGTGCAGCCACTATTACAGATCTTTGAGTTTTAAGTGGTTTATTTCAGAGTTTTCTGCAATGTCAGTGGACCCCAAGAGGGCATTCAGATAGTTCCAATGGTCCCTAGAGAAAGGGTATTTTATACTAATCAATTCACTATAGAATTGAGCCTTATATAACTAATACCCATAACAGTGACTATTTTTAACATAGGTTTCACTTGTTGAACTTATCTCCTCAACTTAAGTAAATAACCATAGAATCCAGTGCTTTTTATGATCCAATAACCAAACTCTTTTCAGATGACGGTCCCTGAAGCAACATTTTTAAATAAACAGGCCTTTGATCCAATGTACCTGAATTTAAGTGCCTGACTTGAAAAAGGTTAATCCATTGGTTTAGATAACTAACTGTTGTGCATTGATAGGCTGATCGTTTGACTGCTTGTGTTTCTTTAAATGTCTCACTTTGTGATAGCGATGTTTTGTTCCCTGTTCTCAGCACTTAATTTAGTATATCATGATGGTATAAGAAGGTAAAAGGTGGAGGCTGAAGACATAGCGGAGCACGTCTTCCTTTATAACACAACATAAAGGGTATACAGTATGTGCAATATGTACAAAGATGCAAATGTAAGCCATTTCCATTGGTATAGAACAAATAGAAGAAGGAGTCAATACTTGGTAAATGAAATAAACTGATAAGCTGATTATAAAAGTAGTCAAGTGCTTCCTGTGGATTGATTGCTTGTAGTACTCTGAGCTCCTTATCCACTGGTGTCTTCTCTCCTCATCACCTCATCAGTTCACGGACTCGGCGGAGGCGACGCTATCGGAGGTCAGAGTCGGACAGTTCTTCTTACCGATCGTCCGCAGAGGACAGGTAGGAAGCTGTCCCTCCCCCTCCTCACCCCCTTTACTCCCTCAGTTTATCTTATCAGCTCCGGGTGTCTGCCGGTTTCCTGGTCACACCAGAGCGATGACTGATAAGGCAGAGGTGACTTCCTGATCTCAGGCACGACCGGCCCTTATCACAGCTTCACAGGAAGTGGCCCCATATTCCCTGCACAGATCAATTCACTCCATTATAATGACATATTGCAAAAATCTTGAAAGATGAAGGATGTTGTTTTTCACAGTTTTTATGGATTTTACTGAAAAGGGTGGACACGTAAGGATCTCTAGAGCTAGAGGAAGAAGTTGGCCCTGGTGATAATTGCTTTTTAAATAATCATTGATCAACACTGAATGCAGAACATTGCACTTAGCATCAGAGCGCCACTTAGCTCCATCTTTATGAACACTTCAATAAGTGGACTTTGACCTGTTAATCTGTAAGATTAAATTGAGGTCTGATTTTCAAAAGAACAATTACATTTAATTATATTAACCATGTTTATAGTTTTTTATTACAAAATTATTATTATTATTATGATTTTATTGGGTTTAGAGAAATAATGATTTGGCTTTAAAATACATTATTATAAAGAAGAAAAAAAATATTTCCGCTATTTTCTTAGGTAGAAAAAGGCTTGAGAAGACATTCTCTTGAGTGCAGAATTAGCTGTAAGTGATTTGAAGCATTAATGTCACGATGCTATGTAATTTAAACTAAGCATTTTCCCACAGACACCACCTGCAGAGATCTGTTGTTCATCACACATTAGGAGACCTGGCAGCTGTAGTAGAGGAAAACAACGGAATGCTTGACCATACCGACCTGAAGTGGAGACCCGCCACCAAATCAGTGTGTAAAACGGCTCCAAAATATCGCTCCATCCTGTCCACCGCCACCGTAAGTACACTTCAGACCTCTAACGCTGCTGGGTCAATTCCATTTCTCAGTTACAGTATGGCCATGTGAAGCAGCCCATTCTCAGTCAAAATGAAATGCCTACAGAGAGGCAGTTGGGTTTGGAAAATACTCATTTAAAAGAAGAAATCATATTTTGAAACTCAGCTGCTTTAAAGGTGGGGTAGGTAATTTTGGAGAAACCAGCTCGAGTTTGCTAGAATTTGAAAATACACAACCAGAAAAAATCTGCCACTTCCTTACAGAGCCCCTCCTCCAACACACACGAACGCTCACATGACCAATGAGGACACGAGATAAGTTTGTGCACAGATGGAAGGCTGACAGGCAGGTAAGCCATCCAGTTATTTGAGCCGGGCCGGCTAAAATGATTGGTCGTGCTTTTTACAGTATTACGGGTTCCACAGATGATATTTCTTTATGGATTTGTTGTCAAAGCACTTAAGATATTCATTGCTATCGGGATGTTAAGAGCATTACATGGAATATAACAAAAAGTGTATCTCGAGCCGGTTTCTCAAACTTACATGCTCTTAACATCCCGATAGCAATGAATATCTTAAGTGCTTTGACAACANGCATCGCCTGGTGTTTCAAACGATCGTTAATGTATCGTATCGTGGAAACGTATCGAGATACGCATCGCATCGGCCTCAGTGATGGAGATGCACATCCCTACTCTGAAGTGAACTAAACAACCAGACTCTGGTCCGCTTAAAAGAGGTGGTCTCGGACCGCTTGCAAGTGAACTCTGGAGCGGATCATCGCTGGTGTGAACGCAGTCTGCACCAAAACATAGGAAGCGTAGTAGTTATGCGTCACAAGAACGCGGAGGTCTTCAAAATATTTTGTGAAACAGTGAATCAGAATGAAGTGTTGAACATTGTCGTGTAAAGTAAAAATTTTCCGTCAACTATGCATAAAAGTCAGAGCCATCTGTCGTCAGTGAAACCTCCTCCTTACTGCAGAACGTCTCTCATTATTATTATTATGATTATATCCAGGGTTGCACATAACTTTTTTGCCCTGGTTCTCAAAGGAGCACCTTTAGATGTTGCTTGGTGCGCATCCTTAAAATGAAATAAACCGGACCTTTTGAGGGGTACTTCACTTTATGAATGGGGGGGGGTGCGCTAGTGAACACGCAGCAGGGTTACTGTGCGGAGCACATAAAGCAGACCCTTCACGCGATAGCGAGGGATCGCAGAGGCTGTCGTGCTCGTGGACGGATTAAAACAATTAAACCTAAATAGCTCGCAAATTATACTTTGGCGACCGTTAATATAGCTGGGCGGCCCGCCCAAGTACAGTCTATGTGTGGGAAACCCTGCTATATTACCAGTTCTTACAGTATGCAACTCGCAAATATCTCTCTCTCTTTTCTATCTCTCTCTTCTCTATTTTCTCTTTCTTTTCTCATCTCTATTTTCTCTTTCTCTCTCTCAATGTTGGTGCGCAAATGCGCCTTTTTTCAAATGATCCGGTGCTCTTTTTTGGCGGGGGGTGCGCATGCGCACCTGCGCACCAGTTATGTGCAGCCCTGATTATATCATATGAGCCATCCACTAGAGTCTGTTGATATGCTCTCAACTCTCCAGATTAACAGCAGCATGAAAATAACCTGCCGATGCCCCATAGTTGAGGCTACAGTAGAAATAGCCGGGATTTGCGTTTTTACCGCATTAATGTCTGACCAATTGTCGAACACCATTTCCGTGCACATGACTTGTGTTTAAAGTTGATAGTCTGTTTGAATTTTGCCCGTGTGAATGCAAACCGAACCTTCTGAAAAATTAAACAATGTAACAAACGTCATCTGGTGCGCACCAGAGAAGCGGACTTTTAGGTGTGAATGCAACCTTAGACTCGAGTCAGACTTGAGTCACAAATTTGATTACTTTGGACTCGACTTGACAACATCGCAAAAGACTTGTAGCATCAGGGATCTTGATTAAACTGCTTATGAATTAAACATTTCTACAGGTTTCAGGTCTACATTGGTGCACAAAACTAATGACTTTGATGTTTTTAGGACCTAGAGATCCGTAAGGAACGACGCATAATCCTGGACTGTGAACAAGACAAAGTCAAAGACATCATGGAACAGGTTGGTTGCAGTCTTTTCACTAGAACAATTATATTATTTCTACTTCTACTTATATTATTAATAATATCCACCCAATCCATTTCCAACAAGAAAGTGATTTATGATTTATCCTTTGCAGTCTTACATCTCTGTCAACTATATGACTTTCTTTAGTATCTCTCCATAGGTCAGCTGGCACATACTCAGATTGCATTATATGACACTTAAAAGTGGACTTAAAATATATTTTAGTTTCCTGTATTTTTTTGGTTGGTTTTCTTTTTCAGATCAGGTTTAACTTGGCAAGCCCTGAGGGCAATGCATCTGCTAAACCTTTATTTCTATTAAGTCCTTTTTGTTAACAACAAACAACATACAAATCATTCACTTAAAATCCTTGATATGTTCATACAATTAATTAATTATTAATTAATGACTACATGTCAAGTGTTTATGATTGTGAGGGGACAGTGTAAATGAAATTGCATGCTTCTCAACACATGTGGTGAACTTCCCAACACTCGCTGGCTCTTCACAAAGATCAAAGGAGTGATGTATAAGCCACTGTAGCCCCCTACCCTTTATGCCCTATGTAAATATAAGATTAACTGAACTGGACTTTTTTCCTAGCTCATGAAAAGACCTTTTGGAGATTCATTCTTTTCACAAGACAGCAACGATAGGCTGGCAAATGGTAACACACACAATGATGTATTGACACAGCTTGTACTCTTTTCCCATCAGGTGATCACTATAGGCAGGCATGTGAAGGGGTACCACTATATCATCGCTAACCTGGTGAGCCCCCGTTTGTGTCTGATTTAAACAAAAACTGCTATGTATTGCTGATGCATGACATACTGTGCGTAGTGGTTGGGACAGGAGGGACAAACATTTACAGTCGGGTTATTTTCTCATCAATGATTGGCTCGCTGCACATTATCCCGCTTATTACTGCTCACTGAAGAAAAATCTACAATTTGACAACAAAATAATGTTATTCATTAAAAAATTTAAGTTTTGCTATAAAAAAAAATATGTTTTCTTCTGCATAGCAACAGCTGGAATTAAGGCGACAGCAACTGTAGCTTAAAACGCCAGCAGCACTGATCGAGGTTTTCGGTGATTGTCCGAGTGTGTTCACATTTTATCTTCTATTACCATTCGTTAAACACTACTAGAGCCCACACCGTTTTCCAGTATTTTAAATTCCTGTCTGTCTTCTTCAGCTGAATTTCTCTGTTGTCAACTCTCTGTGTCTTTTACCTACCGTAATTTTCGGACTATAAGCCGCGCCTTTTTCCCTATTTTTCGACGCTGCGGTTTATATAACGGTGCGGCTAATCTATGGATTTTTACAGCTAACAGCCAACACCTTTAACTCTATGGGCTCTATGGCCGGTCCGCGGACCCCCACCTTTAAGCGGCGGGTTCCAGCAGGAAAAACTGGAGGCCGGAAAAGAGTGAGACAGGTAGCGCGCAAAAGTAAAAGTGGAACCGAGAGTGGTATGCCGCTGCTGTGGCTTATATTCAGGTGCGCCTTATAGTCCGAAAACTACGGTACTTTGAATTGTACCCATTTATTTGTTTCTAAGATCTAATCACTTTTACACTCAGCTGAAATGGACTGGTCTTAGCTGATGTTAGCATAGCACAAAATCAAAGGGTGGGAGAAGTAGTTAGATCTTGTACTTGAGTAAAAGTAGAAGTACCAGAGTGTAGGAATACTACAAGTAAAAGTCCTGCATTCAAAATGTTACTCAAGTAAAAGTAGAAAATAATTATCATCAAAATATACTTAAAGTACCAAAAGTAAAAGTAGTCATTGAGCAGATTGGTCCATTTCAGAATAATATACTGTATATGATATGTTTTTATAATGATTGATCATGAAAGTGTTCTCAAAGCTGGTAAAGGTGCAGCTAGTTTGAATGACTTTGTGTACTGCAGGGTAGCTTGTGAATTTACTCCAGGTGGAACTAAAGTCTGATTTAACACTTGATTATATTTCACATCATTCATCCAGATCTGTGAAGTAACTAAAGGTATTCAATACATGTAGTGGAGGAAAAGTACACCATTTACCTCTGAACTGCAGTGGAGTACAACATTGTACTTAAGTACACTACTCGAGTAAATGTACTTAGTTACTTCCCACCTCTGCAAGGCATAGCTACATTCAGTAGTGCAGGATAGAAAAGAAGCCTGGTTTTGAACTGCTTTTTTTCTTATGAATGAAAGCTTGTAGTTGAAGTAGCAGATCTGCCTCCAGTAGGGCACACATGCGTGGTTCTATGAATAGAACGCAACTACAAAGTCATTAACTGAAATGTTGTGTTTATCTTCTTTCAGGGTTTTGTAGATGGCGACCTATCTAAAATCCAGTATGGAGGTGCGAATGTGTCTGGGTTTCAGATAGTAGACTTTGATGATCCTGTGGTGGCAAAGTTTGACCAGCGATGGGAGGCCCTGGAAGAGAAGGAGTATCCAGGAGCTGATTCACGAATCAGAGTAAGATTTGGGCATATAACATTAGTTCATAGGCTGGTTAGAATTAATTTAAATGTTTCCATACACTAGCACAATCATGCTTAATTAAATTAAATAATCTGACCTAACTCTCCAGGTACTGAGGAGAACATATTTTGTCATGAAACACTTTTTAATTTTTGCAGTAAAATTGGACATCATATTTCCAATAATACATTTTTCCACAGCCACTTTTCCCAAAATAAATGTCAAAAAGGTTATAAAACAACCAGTGCGGTAACACACTTAAAAATAGTAAGTACCCATTAACAGCCTGAAGTAAAGTAGAATTAAGACTGAGATTGATTTATTATAAAAACGGCTGCACAGAATTATTTTAACAAATGTTGTTTCTATCGTGATCGCACTTGTGAAATGTTTAAAACCCACACTATCTGCCTGGTTGTAGATAAATTGAGATAAAATTAGATAAAGCTTTATTGAGCAGCCTGACACTAAACCAATTTTCCCCTGGAATCATTAAAGTATTTCAGATTCTGAAATAGGCAGCAGGTTATTGAGATGATTTTGATTTTTATAACTTTTTCTGTCTTACAGTACACCTCAGCCCTCACCTATGATGCTGTCCATGTGATGACGGAGGCATTCCGCTTTCTTCACAAGCAGAGAATAGACATGAGTCGTCGTGGCAACAGTGGGGACTGTTTGGCCAACCCAGCAGTTCCCTGGGCACAAGGGGTGGAGATTGAACGTGCCCTCAAACAGGTAACCTCATTAAGAAGAGAGAGAGACGGGCCCATTTCTATTAAAGCTGATAAAAGTTAAATTAATTCAGCCTTTAAGTAACAAGGACTGCATCGTTTTGAAGAAGGCGCTCCTTGAATTTTTTTTAATGTGGTGTTTAAAGGATATATCCTGATATCTGAAGATTATTTAGAGGATCCATATGGTTGATGTGAACATACTACGATAAAAGATGAAATGATTGCAGCAGTGATAACTTCCCACATTACAACATTCTGTCTCATAGCAATCTTAACCAAAAATGAGCTTTTCATATGTTAAATGGTTATTTACAGTGGGGCAAAAAAGTATTTAGTCAGCCACCAATTTTGCAAGTTCTCCCACTTAAAAAGATGAGAGAGGCCTGTAATTTTCATCCTAGGTATATCTCAACTATGAGACAAAATGAGAAAAAAAAATCCAGAAAATCACATTGTCTGATTTTTAAAGACTTTATTTGCAAATTATGGTGGAAAATAAGTATTTGGTCAATAACAAAAGTTCATCTCAATACTTTGTTATATATCCTTTGTTGGCAATGACAGAGGTCAAACGTTTTCTGTAAGTCTTCACAAGGTTTTCACACACTGTTGCTGGTATGTTGGCCCATTCCTCCATGCAGATCTCCTCTAGAGCAGTGATGTTTTGGGGCTGTCGCTGGGCAACACAGACTTTCAACTCCCTCCAAAGATTTTCTATGGGGTTGAGATCTGGAGACTGGCTAGGCCACTCCAGGACCTTGAAATGCTTCTTACGAAGCCACTCCTTCGTTGCCCGGGCGGTGTGTTTGGGATCATTGTCATGCTGAAAGACCCAGCCACGTTTCATCTTCAATGCCCTTGCTGATGGAAGGAGGTTGTCACTCAAAATCTCACGATACATGGCCCCATTCATTCTTTCCTTTACACGGATCAGTCGTCCTGGTCCCTTTGCAGAAAAACAGCCCCAAAGCATGATGTTTCCACCCCCATGTTTCACAGTAGGTATGGTGTTCTTTGGATGCAACTCAGCATTCTTTCTCCTCCAAACACGTCTAGTTGAGTTTTTACCAAAAAGCTCTATTTTGGTTTCATCTGACCATATGACATTCTCCCAATCCTCTTCTGGATCATCTAAATGCTCTCTTGGTTTCATCTGACCATATGACATTCTCCCAATCCTCTTCTGGATCATCTAAATGCTCTCTAGCAAACTTCAGACGGGCCTGGACATGTACTGGCTTAAGCAGGGGGACACGTCTGGCACTGCAGGATTTGAGTCCCTGGCGGCGTAGTNTGTGTGGACGTCACACTGCATTCACTTGCACTCGGACATTAGGGATTTTCTCTCATAAATGTCCGATGAGCCACAACTTTTATTTCAAAACAAAGCTGACGTTTTCTGCCAGACGCTGTCTCCTCTTTCACTTTAGGTAACTTCACTAAAAATCGGTCCATGTTGCCGCTCGCATAAAGTTAGTTAAAGTTAACTAGCTAGATTTCACTGTTTCTCGTATTTTTTCTCACGCTGCGCTCCCCTGAAGCTCTCTGGCGCCCCCCAGGGGAGGCGCGCCTCACACTTTGAAAACCGCTGCTCTATAGGATTTAGATCTGGTCACTGTGCACTAGGGATGTGCATCTCCATCACTGAGGCCGATGCGATGCGCATCTCGATACGTTGCCACGATACGATACATTAACGATCGTTTGAAACACCAGGCGATGCGATACGATACGATTCACCCCTGTTGCGATACAGTTCGATACGATTTGATTCAACATTATGCGATTCGGGGCGATACGATGCGATTCAACACGATGCAAAAATAATGATACTTCAATATGGTACAACAGAGGATTTTAAATCCTCTGTTGTACCATATTGAAGTATCATTATTTTTGCATCGTGTTGAATCGCATCGTATCGCCCCGAATCGCATAATGTTGAATCAAATCGTATCNTTTTAGTGGAGCACGCGCATGAGCTGCGCCTGCGAGCACCAGAGCCTCGCAGCGGCAAAACTGAGGCTCCGTGGTAAACTGTGGTAACATGAAGAGCCGTTTGGGAGCCGAAACAGCCAGAGCTTTAAGAGAGCCGAGCCAAATGATCCGGCTCACTAATGTAAAAAGACAGTATCTATAAGGCTATCAAGTCAAAAATCAAAACAACTGTAACCCGCGCTCTCGGGTGGCCACCCTCTCAGCCCTGGTCTGGCGGAAACACTGGTGTGAACGCAGTCCGAGACCTCTGAAGTAGGGATGCTAAGATTCACCGATTTGCATCGGTGCACCGGCATAAACGTTCAAGATGCGAGTGCACCGGTTGAAAGAGTGCACATCGGCTACAGTTTGGGTTGAACTCGCGATGCATCGATTGTAGCATCTTTGCATTGGTAAAAAAACTATTCATTCATGTAATATCCTCTCATCCTATCAACGCTCAGCAGAGACGATCTTTGATATTTACTTCGCCACTACGGAGAACGAGAGTCTCAGTTATCAACACACACGGAAGTTGAGGAGAAAGAGAAACACAGCGCACCGAAAAATACCTACAAATCAAACGTTTGGCAACACTTCGGATTGTTCAAGAAAGACGGTGTAATAGTCATTTATGCTATATAGTTGACCGCAGGTCATGGAGAGTAATAAGGTATCCATAGACCTTTGTATGAGGTATCTTTATTACTTAACAGGTCTACAGCCATGATACATAGATCCGTCCTAGATCCGGACTTGCATACACACAGTATCACTCCGCAGCCGCACCCCATCAGTAACGTCCTGATGGTATATGTGCGCGGCACTATATACTACAGACGGTCAACTTGAAAAATCGCTCGCAAATTGTTAACGATGCCGAGCCGCTTTAAAGTACACAAGTAGTTCGAGGAACTTAGCGACGCACATAAAGAGGCGACATGGGGTCTGCGGCTGAAAAGAGAAACCTGAAAGTTAGACATATGAGTTAAATCACTCAGTGAGGTGTTCTGTCAGAGAGAGTGGTGTTTAGTTTACAGCAGCCTGTGACGGCCAATAATAATTTAGATGTCTTCCTTACTGTAAGCAGTTATGAAATACCTGTTTGTGAAAGGTTATTTGTTTTCTTTATTGTTCATATAGAAACCACTGCTTTCTGCTCACTGGTGAGTTAGCCTATGAATGAGTGTTAAGCACATCAGGCTGGCAGCTGTATGGGCATTGCTCTATGGTAGCTGTTATTTGCACATTGTTAATCATGAGCAATGCATCCTTAAATTGT